ACCAGTCTATTCGCTCTCTGCTTTATCCTGTTTAGGGTTTAAGTTTCTCAGATCTATGGGTTTGTATTTTTCATCAAACTTGGAAATTTTTATAGCCATTATTTCTTCACATGTCTTTTCTGTTCTCTCATTCTGGTACTCCAATTACATTATGTTAGACAACTTGATATTGTCCCACAGGTAACCAAGTCATTGTTCTTTTTTTTTTTTCTTTTTTCAGTTTTTCTCTCTGCGCTTCATAAAGTAGTTTCTATTGCCCTCTTCAAATTCACTGGTCTTTTCTTACACAGTACCAAATTTATTTTTAATCTTACACAGTGAATTCTTCTTTTCATATAGTATATATTTCATTTCTAGAAGTTTCATTTGGTTCTTCTATGTCATTTACACCTCTCCTCTGAGATTCATGTTTTCTTTACATTTCTTGAGCGTATTTATAATAGCTGTTTTGAAATCTTACCTGCTAATTTCATCATATCTACCATTTGTATCTGTTTTCATTGATAATTTTTCTCCAAGTTATATTATTCCTGCTTCCTTGCATTTAACATGATTGGGTATTTCATATGTAAAATTTACATTGTTGGGTATAATTTACATTGTTTTATTTTAATAACGTTTACTATGACAGATAGTTACGTTACTTATGGATCAACTTTCAAGGCCTGTTTTTAACCCTTTTTAGGGCAAGTCTGGACTCCCCTTTATTCTAGGGCTAGTTCAGCTCTACTGTAAGGCATGACTCTTCCAGAGTCTCCAATGGATGCCCTGGGCAGTTAACAAGGACCCTCCACTCCAGCTGACTGGAACTCTAGGATCTCCCAGCCCTGAGTGAATTCTGCAGGTTTTTTCAGTAAATTACTGAGTTTACACCATTCTGATCATTCTTTGCCTGGCTTCACAGAGTGTCATACTACACCTGGGGGCTCATTCAGCTAAAGACCAGGGGAACCCAAGGCTGAGTTCCGACATTCTTCCTCTGGGCAGCTTCTTCCTTTCAGATACTCTGCCGCTCAAATTAGTTGCATTAGCCTCTCCAAATTCCAAATTTTGTTTCCTCAACTCAGCGACACCGTCACACCCTGCTTGGATTCCTCCTCCCCACGCTGTGGTCCAGAAAGTGGCTCCAAGCAGTAAGTCAGCGCAACCACTTCTCTCTTCTCAGGAGGCACAGCCTCGCACTGCCTGTCGTCCAGCTGTCTTAGTCCATTCGTGCTACGATAACAAAAGGCCGGACTAGGTGGCTGAGCAACAGCAGAAATTTATCGCTCACGGTCTGGAAGCTGGGAGTCCGAGGTCAGGGCAGCAGCGTGACCAGGTGGGGGCCTTCTTCCAGGTCGTAGACTTCTTGGTGTACCCTCACGTGACAGGAGGGGCAAAAGATCTCTCTGGAGCCTTCTATAAAAGCTCTAACCCCACCCATAAGGGTGCCCCCCTCATGACCTAATCACCTCCCTAAAGCCCTACTTCCGAATACCTTCCTAAGAATCATCATCTTTGGAAGTCTGGATTCAACATATGAATTTCGTGGGGGTCACAAACATTCAGACCGTAGCCGAATGTCTCAGAACCGTGGTTTCATATGTTTTGTTCACTCTCCTAGTTGTTTATGGTGGGAGTATAAATCTGGTCTCAGTTATTCCATCACAGTGTGAAGCGGAAGAACTCCCAATCTTGTTCGTCTGGAAGCAGACGCCCTCTAAAACTTGCACTCGTTGTGTTTTTTAAAATATACTTAAATCCTTTTTTATTTTTTCTGCATTAATTCCCCATTTCCACGAGACCTACCTGCTATATATTTCCTTTGCAAAAACTGCTCTGGCTCCTCCTTTATGTTTGCTCTTCCACATAATCTTTAGGTCCATATGACCAACTTCCCCCAAACTTGCCCTAGCATCTGATAGAGATGGAATTAAATATACAGATTAATTGGAGGAAACTGACATCCTGCCTAATACTGACCCTTCTCCTTTCTCTTACCCAAATACGAAGTATATCTCTCTGTTTACTGAAGTCTACTTAAGTATCACTAATTAGTTTTCTTCAAACAAGTCCCATATATCTTTTACATTTATTCCTCAACATTTTACATTTTTTTGTTTATTTTCTGAAAGGGATCTTATTTTCCATGATCTCTTCTAACTAATTACAGTCCTTAAAAAAGAAAGCTAGATATTTTTATGTTAATTTTGTACCCACCAAATTACTAGGCACTCTTATTAGTTCTAATGTGTTTTCGTGGATTCCCTTTGGTTTTCCCAGGTGGCAAATCATATTATCTGCAAATAATAATTTGGTCTCCTTTATAATATTTATATATTTTTTCATTATCTGGTCTGATTACAGGAAAATGTTAAATAATAGTAATGGTAGTGCACATACTGACTTTCTCTCCAACTTTAGAGAAAATACTCCAGTACTTCACCATTAAATAGGATTCTAGCTCTTGATTTTAAGTGTTTTTAATAATGTTAAGGAAATACACATCTATATTATTAAGAGTCTTTATCAGGATGAATACTGAATTTCATAAAATCCTATTTCATCAAGTACTTTATCCTAACATATCATATGGCATATTAGTAGGCGTATATATTATATTAATGGTTTTCTTAAAATTGAATTATCCCTATGTACCTAAATCCTATTTGGTAATTGGATTTTTTAATATATGACTGCATTTTATAAATTTATTATGATTTTATTTATGATTTTTGTATCTATACTCATTAGTAGGATTATAATTTACTTTCTTTTGGTATCTTTGTCAGAAATAGAATTATCCTAATTTAATAAAATGTATTACTTTTATAAACAGTAATAAAGTTATAAAAAATAAAGCCTAAAAATCACTAACAACTCTCCAAATGCCCACCACTTCTCTTTTAATTAAAAAAAAATGTTTTTAATGGGGTATAGGTGATTTAAAATGTGTTGCCCACCACTGTTTAAACATTTATTTTTTCTTCCGATTCTGGAGCTGTCGTAATAAAATCTTGACAGGTCATTTTTCCACCCCACCCTACACTTTAGAGTATAGTTTAGACATATATTATACACACATTCCTGAATAGCTGCTTGTAAGACAAAATTCTATCTTTCAAATACCACTATCCCCAAAACTCACTTTGTAAAATCAGGAGACGTTTTAGATACTAGTGGCTTTTCTTTCTTGCAGGAATTCTCTTCCCCAAGTGTTTCTACAGCCCAATTCCTTAGGCTATTTAGGTCTAAACTAAAATGCCACCTCTTCAGAGAAGCCTTCCTTGTCCACCTAATTAAAATACCACTGCCAACTTTCCATCCCTCTCTAGCCCTGATTTATTCTTCATAACCACTCTGAAATACTTTATCCCCAGTACCCAGAAAAGTAACTGACATTCAGTAAGTGGTCAACTAATGTTTGTTGAAGGAACAAATGAATGAAGGTAAGTGGGCACCCACTTACTTGGGTATAATTTGAAGAAAAAGTCCCCAAGAATAGTTTCCTCCTTTCTGGTGCCACACTTCCTAAAATGCCTATGACAACCTTATAAGGCTACTGCATAAATCATTAATCAATAATGCCCTGGTAAAATTATTTATCAGATTCTTTCTTCCATAATAATCAGTTCTTCAAGCCTTGAACACCTGGGGTTCCATGTAAATGAAGAAAAGTATAGAGTCTTCCAGAAACAAGCTCGTACTCTTTTTCTCATAATAGCAGTACCCAGTCAGCATATGGTAAATATATTCTGCCTACTGTTCTTAGCAGCTCCCCCCATAGAATTAAATACCAACGGAGTAAAACTATGGGGCAAAGAGAAAGTACTTGAAGAAGCAATAATTAGTCTGGGTGATAAAGGAGGGGACAGAAATCCCAAGTCCCTCATTTCTTTGGAGAATCACACCTGGAAGTAATCATACAGAAAGTGAATCTTTAAGAAAGAAGTAGAAATTGATTATGAGAATAAAACATGTTCTTTAGCTGTGGCTAAAGACTTTGAACCAGTTTTAGATTCAAATACAACAGGAACATTTCAGTTACCAAGTCCACTGAAAACAAACCCACTGAATTTGCCCATAGCTATCCTGGAAGACTGCACAGACACCAAGCAAGCTAGAAGAAAAATCCAGATTCCAGAACACACAGCCTGACATCCTAACTTGTTTCTCAGTCATGGTACTAAGTACCAGTAAGAGCAGTATCTTCCACAGAATACAGAAAAAACGGATTTTTTAAATACAGTAAGCTCTCCATTTTCTCATCTTATCTCTGACCAAATATTTGTCCATTGTTGTGACGGCATTATTCCATTTTAATTTAGATACTTCCCAACAGTCGGTCTTTATTGAATGGTGGGAACAGAAGCCAGGCCCTGGAAGTCCATATATTTCTGGTACTGTTACTTTTCTACTCCCATCTCTTATTCTTTAATGTTATCAATAACAAAAAAAATAACCAAATATGCGAAAGCTGCAAAATTCTTCAAGTATAAAATTTCAAATACTGAACTTCCTTTCTGATTTACCAATTATCTAAATTCTTAAGTATAAATAACATGATTAAAACATGATGGATTCCCATTAGATGTAATTACTAATTACTGAATTAGATGTAATAACCAAAAGACAAAGGTAACAGCTAAAGGAGATACAAAATTCTAAATTAAGATGAATGTAACTTAGGTGTTTAGGTACAGTATATGCCTACACACTCTCAAATCCAAAACAATGGATTTTGTTAGGAATTTAAATCTCTCGACTAGTACTACAGTGTTCTTTCTTTCAATTTTTTCTCCCAGTTCATTCCAATATATGCAATGTTCCAACAACTCAGGCCCAGCAGTCCCTTCCTCAACCTTCTATTGCCTAATTACATGAGGACGCATGACATACATACAGAGTCGCATGCATTGTACATTTCTCCTCTCAAATACCTGTTCCCCATTAAATTCAAAATCAGCTCATGCATTGATTTCTATGAACAAAACAGAAATGTAATACATTGGATGCCTAACCTCTTGATTTTCTACTCCACTGCTGGAAAGCTCCAAAACAGAACCTCCACTGTCAACTACTGCTGATGTCATTGTTTATTCCCTGAGGAAGCTTCAAACGCAATCAGTCGACGTAATTAAAGGTTCATGGATGGTTGCCAGTGTTACAGGTTTGCACTATCATGTTTTAAAAGTCAATAGAGAAGGAGTGGAGTAGATATCCAGAAATCCCGTCTTCTAAAGATGAATAACCAGAGAGCCTAAAAAGAGGAAGAATTGAAAAATTATTAAAAATATACAAAATGGATATAAAGCACAACCTATTTTGCATCTAATTTTTAACATTTTTGTAAACTAAAAGGAGATAGGCTTATACAGCCCTGTGTCAAAAGAGGGCAGTAATGAACATCCTGCTTAGAGTTGTCAAGTTTGTGAACAATCTGAAATAAGTTCTTACCAAGCTATTGCACATTGGTGACCTGATGACATTTACATTCTAAGAGATAAAATGTTACAACTTTCTCCCCTTATGAAGATGTACTATTATTCCTGAAATATTTTGGTAAAAATTCCTGAAATTAAAAAAAAATTTATGCACTGAAAACATAAAACGTGCTGGACCGAGACAACTTCCAAAATTATTCACCTATTTAACAAATTAAAAGATTTATTGGCTTGTAAATATTTCTTTTTTTTGACCGCGCCGCACACCGCGCAGCATGTAGGATCTTAGTTCACCGACCAGGGATCGAATCCGTGCCCGCCCCCTCCGCCCCGCCCCGCCCCGCCCCGCCGTTCAAAAGCACGGAGTCTGAACCACTGGACCACCAGGGAAGTCCCTGGTTTGTAAATGTTTCATTCGTCTTTGGCTCATTTGGTTTGTTTATATGAAAAATTAATTCGAATTATCTTTTTTTTGCTATGGTAGCAATCTCATTTTGTGTTCACATTTTGAATACTCATACAAGGTCTATAAAATAGATTAATTTGAGTAACTTATACTTTCAAACAAAGTAGTTTGAAAATAAGGTAGTGAAATGACTTGGAATGACTTTAATATACTTTATCATTCTTTCCTCAATAATTTTTTTGCTATTGGTTCAAAATGCAGTATAGCGAAGGGTTTCAAGACAACATAATTAAAGTTTTTTTCCCCTACTAGAGATGAATATCGGTATGCACATCGCCTAGATTTATGCATTAGATTATTCTAATAATTCTAAAAAGTTACATTTGATTTTGTGTATGTTAAATATTTCATAGAGAAATTACAGAATTTCTTTCTGACAGGATTTTTTCCCACAAAAATTTAAGAATGCAGAAAAATTAAGCATATTTAAAGAGAAAAGAATAACCGTTTCTAATTAATCATTCCATTAATATGTGGCCTATATTAAATTTGAACACTGGTCCCATACAGATATGGAAATAAAATATTAAAGAATTTCCATAAACTTATACAATAAAAAGAAATACCTGAAAAAAAAGCAGAAATTTCACCTCACTACTTAAGACCCATTCAGTACTATTAGTCTCCTTTTTGATCTTATCAACAGAAAATGGGATAGAAAGTATTTGTATCTTAAGAATAAAAATTAAGAAAAATCCACAATCCCATCACACTAAAGCTTACTATTATCATACAAGGTAACAACTATTTTCAATTTCTGTTTTCTAATCATATAGATAGTAATAGCAGAAATAACTTTTACTTACAATTTGAATGTTAAGTAGTCTAAGCATCCTTCACTATTTTCACAAGTTGGCAAGAGTTAAAATATAAACCAGCAGTTCTCTGGAACTACTAGTGGGGGGAAAAAGACAGTATTAATATAATTCTATTAAAAAATATTTTGCCCAAAATAGGTGTGATCCTGACAGTAGGTACTTATTACAACAAACCATCTCCAAAGCCTGATGGTACACGTTTTATAATGAACATAATAAAGAAATTACTCCTGGCCTATTGAGGAATCAAAAGCTTTTATCAAACTTAAAATTTTAAGTCACCACTAGATACCAAGTATTGAGTAACGACAGATTCCAACATACATAGCCTATACCCCACATCATGGGCTGTATTTCAATCAACCAACAGGATTTGAACACATGGCTGCAGGTATAACCCCAGATCCCCAGGAGTATAAAATCAAGTTTAAGAAGACTAACGCAATCAACTATACTTCAATAAAAAACAAATACGTTAGTTAATTAATTTTAAAGACCTAAAACATTTTAAAGTTTAGAAAAAAATGACTAACCCAGAAAACTACTGTTGAACGACGCTAATGATATATTATTGCTGATAACTTTCCTGCTATTCACTTTCTTGCTGTCTCACCCTCCAAACTTTGCACCCACACAAACCTAACACCCCAAGCCTCCTCAAGCAGCCCTCCTCCTTTCTGAAGCTCACCTGTGCACTGGGTCTTAGGCCTTGTTCCATCAACTATTCCCTCTTTTTCCTTAACCTTCTCTTCCTGAACATTGGGTTCTCTCCCTCAACATCTAAACATTTATAAGACCCTCTCAACTTTTTTCTTTTTTTTTTTTAATTTCTTGGCCGTGCTGCGTGCAGCATGAGGGATCCTAATTCCCGGACCAGGGATGGAACCCGTGCCCCCTGCAGTGGAAACTGGAGTCTTAACCACCGGACCACCAGGGAAGCCCCAAGACTCTCTCATCGTAAACATGACTCCTCCATGACCCTGCATACCCCTCCAGCTAGCACTCTAGTTCCTTCCTTTCTCAGATAAGGCTCTACCTAAAAAATCTTTTATACACTGTCTCCACTTCCGGATTTCTCAGGTACTCCTTCTATGGGAGTTTGGCAGCCATCATCACCAACTGAAATTTTTGCTAAATTCTGGTTATCGAATCCAATGGCTCCATTTCTGTCTTCATAGGACTTAATGTCTCTGAAGCACTTGACACTGTTGATCATTCCCTCCTTGAAACTCTATCTTGAATTTATCTTCTCCCTCTCTAGCTCTTCCTTTTCAACTCCCTCTTGCAGGCCCACCCCTAGTTTTCAAGGAGCTTGAAGAGTACAAATGTCAGCCCATATACCACATGCCTAAGTATTTTAAAGTTACAGACCAAACTAACAAGCTAGTGAATTTTATTTTACTCTCCTACCTTGACATATACACTTTTATAACAACCTACAAGGCTAAGTTCTGATTTGGCATTCTCAGACTCAACATCTATGGCGGCGGGGGTGGGGGGGGTGGGAGGCCCGTGCTCCCCCATCTCCCTGCAGCCTGCCCCTTTTCCTCATGCCACCTTTGGCTCCCCTCCAGCCTACAAGGAGCGTCACATGCACACACGTGGACATCCCAGACAACACGTCTAAGCTCTGGCCACATGCCTGCAAACAGCTGCCACTTGGCCATCCCTTAGGCCGAGGGAAGCCCATACATGTGGTATAGTTAACAGAGGAGAGAATCAGGGAAGAGACCTGTGAAGGGTTACATGGGCAAGGAATTCTGGGATTCAAATACTCTTAGCTTGATCTAGAAATGGGTACCAGATGGACTGGCCCCTCAAAATCCTCAACCTATCCTATCAGCAGGGGTTAGCTGCAGGAAGGCCAGATGAGGGAACCCAGAGCAGGGTTCCTGCTTGGATAACTAAGGACAGTGCAACTCTCTGGTCAATCCTGGTAGGTGTTTCCAGGATCCCATCCGCAGTCCTCTTCTGATTCTCCACTCTGTCTAAACCATCTCACGCACTGCCACGGCTTCACTCAAGTCTCTCTTCCAGTCTAAACCATTGTATGGGCTCCAGTTTGTCTGCTAGATATTTTCTTGCCTGTACTTCCTTGTGAAATTAAATAGGGTATAAATAAATAGCAAGCATCTATTCCAGGATATCCCAAGGACTCCATTAATTAATTCAGTCATTCAACAAACACTAATTGAGCACCTTTTATATACGAGTAGTTTTCGGTCGCTAGAGGTGCAGTGGCGAAAAAAGCAGAAGTCCTTGTTCTTGTGTATCTTAAATCCCAGTGGGGAGAGATGAAAATAGCAAAATATGTTTAGCACCCATGTAGACGGCGATAAAGGCCAAGGAGGCAAATGAACCAAAAGGAGAAAATATTCGGCAAGGAAGAGGGCTGCAATTTCAAACTGGGTAATCAGAGAAGAATTCACTGAAAAAGTGACATATGAGTGAAAACTCGGAAGTAGGAAGGAGCTGTGCCAGTGACGGGGGGCACGGGGAGAGCTCCCTCGTGAAAGGAAAGAGAACATTCAAGATCTTCAAGAGGGAATAAGCCTGAAAGTTCAAAGATCACCAAGGAGGCCAATACGGCTGGAGTGAAGTGAGCTAGAGGAAGGAAGAACAGACGCGATGACCAAGGGGTAAGGAAAGGGGTCACGTAAGCCCTCGATGAGGACTCTGACCTTGACCCCGGGAGAAGGAGGGTATTGTGCAGAGAGATGATCTGATTATTCTAACAGTCATTCAGCTGCTGGGTTGAGAACAGACAAGGGGACAAGGCCAGAAGCAGGGAGATCAATTTGGAAGCCACTAGGATAACTAGGTGAGAAATGACACTGGCTAGGACTGAGTGGTGGGTTCTGGAGAGAGCGAACAGTGGTCAACTTTTAGAAATTTTTGTAGGTAAAATGGACAAAGTTTGATAGCAAACTGGACGCGGGGTGTAAATGAAAGAGAAGAGTCAAGAATGAATCCAGAGAAATCAGTCAGCGCACCTGGACTAGCCATGAAACGGGATGAATGACGGTGTGAAACAAGTCCCACATGTCCCAAACTCAACTGTTTCTCTGCTACCTCCCCCAAGGTATGAGCTCACCTACTGTGCTGAATTAGCCCCATAAGCTGCCCTGCCACCTACACAAGTTGGCTAAAGCAGCAGAGGCTGCAGTCGTCTGTGGCTCCTTCCCCATCAACACCATCATCCTCTCACTCCCGACTCCTGCCCAGTAATCTCATATCCTCTGCCTTAGTTGAGGCCCTTATTCTCACTTTTCTATAGTTGTTAGAGCCTCAGATTTTGCCTCCTGGCCTTTAATCTTCCCTCCCTTCCAGTCCGTCTAACTGCACTGTCAGGGTGATCCAAGATGGGATAATGTCAGGCCCCTCTCAAAATTCTTCAGCAGTTCATCATCACCTGCAAGATGAAATTTCAACCTCTTTGCAAGCATACTGATTTAGTAGAAACGAGCAAGGGGTCTAGGTCTCTTTTTCAGAAGTTATGAAATGTTCATTGTGATATGCCCCGGTATGGAAGCCACAAATTTAATCCACGCTCACTGGCCCAGCCTCGTTCTCCTTTACTCCCTCCATCCTGGTTGTTTGCACCACAGCTGTTTACAGTTCTCTACATTCTTCTCTCTCTTGTCTTGACACCCTTCCCCTGTTTGCCCATTTGGCCAATTCCTAGCTGTCTCACAGGTCTCAGCTCTAAAGCAACCCCATCACTGAAGGGCTCAGTATCATTTTCTGTAATTCTCTTCCCCCAATCCACATTATATACTTCCCTCACAAAAACATCAGGGAAATAACAGCTTCCAGGTGCCCCCTCCCATCAACCACAGCAAGCCCAACACCTATGCCTTTCTATAGTGCTCCCTAAAATCCTGCTTCACTTTACCTTCTTAATATTCTCACCTTCTTACCACTTTCTCAAAGCACCAAGTTTTAAACATCTGTGTATCCAGGTTTTAAAAATCTGTGGTTGATACCACCTAAACCACTGCCTTTCATATAGCAGATAAACAGTAAAGATGTGATGAATACGCGGATAAACAAACATGTTCCAATCAGACAAATGTCTTCACTGTTCACTACACAGACCAATGCTCATTCCCATCCCTATCCCTTTGCTGGTTCCCTTCTCTCATCAGGAGTGCCCTCGTCTTTGATTATTCAGATTCTACCCGCCCCTCATGGACAACTTTTCCCCTATAATAACGTCACCTGTTTCCTCTCTCTTACTATACCAGTTCTTTCAATAACATTTATTAAGCACTTAAGTGTACACCAAATACAGCACTATGCCAAGACCACAAAAACAAAGTTAGGACTCAGCCTGCAAACAGCTTAGCGTCTAGTAAGGAGAGGCACTCGAAGCAATTACCATAATGTAAACGCCATAAAGGAAACTACAAAGTACAGTGGAAACATTAAAAAAGGGAACACCCAGTCGGCCCGGGGCGGGGGGGAGGGATTCTAGGGGAAGATTCTAGAAAAGACTTCAGAAAGGAGCCACCGCTTGGTCTGGGGTTAGAAGAAGGGGTGGAAACTGGCATAACAATAAGAGAAACAATTCTGAATCATGAATACTAAGTGAACTGTCAGGACTGAAAAAAACTGCGAAATGAGAGCAAACCTAAGTATCAGTCAGAAGCAAATGCAGCTCAGACTGTAACTCAGTTGCTTAGAATACAGACCACACTCTCATCAGAAACAGCTTACGTGTATGACTTTATTTACATAAAGTACAAAAACAAGGAAAACTCAATCTATGATACTCGAAATATGATACTACATTACAAAAGGCTACTATCACTAATACATAAGGAATGCTTAAAATAGAGAATGAGGGACCAAAAAGGAAAACAAGAGAAAAATATGAAAAACTGTGGTACAAAAAACTGTGGTATAAAAAATATGAAAATGTGAAAAACACGAACACACAATTCACAAAACCAGATACAAAAATAGCCCTTAAACATAAGAAAAGATGTTCAAATTCACTCGTAGAGAAAGGCAAGTTTTTAAAAATTGAAATACCATTTCTCTCATCTATCAGATTGGTGAAAATTAAAATGC